TGAATTTGGGGAGGATATATTTGAATTTGAGGGTTAAAACCCATATCCACCTTTTTTTCTTTTTTTTCTTTTTTTAACAAATATAAATTCATTTTGGATATAGAATCTTTTTAAATTGTGGTGGTTAATGAGTTAAATATATATATTAATATGAAAATTTTATTTTAATATTATTGATATTTGGATGTATTTTATAAGATTTTATATAATTTTTATTTTTTGTGTAGTAAAAATTTTATGAGTAAATTGTAGAGATCAGAAACAAGAGGATTAACTTGCACAAAATCTAGAAATTAGGGACCAAAAATGCTATTTTGCCATCAATCAAAATTGCTTAAAAGGCCAAACGCTGGGAGCTTTACTAAAGGTGTCCGTACCTTATTGAGGGTGTTGATCCTATATGCGATTTTCAGCAAGTCTGCGCTTGTTTTTATTATTTTGGTGGGGTCTTATGTATATTTTAATTAATCTTTTTTAAAATCCTATAAATAATCATCCAAGTGAAGAATTAAAAGAGTCTCTTGGAGGCTAATGACACCCTTTTCAGCGCTCTTGCAAATCAAAATAAAGATTCATTAATAATAAAATATCAAAGACGTTGATAAAAATATATATATAAATATATCAAAGATATTTTGGCTTCTCAAAAAAAAAAATATATCAAAGATTTCAATTTTTTCTTTTGTTTTTTTTAAAATTATTTTTATCTTTTATTTGATATTTTTATATTTATAACTATAATTTCAAATTTTATTTCTTTTATTATGAACTAATTTATTCTATTAGGACTATGATATAATCTAATTAATTTATTATAAATTTTATGATTTTTATATTTTCAATTAAAAATGATTTGCATGATGAGTTTTTATTGTTATATTTAAAGCTTTAAAAGATTGATCACCTTTTGATTGATTTTGTGATTTCTGCATAAATTAGAGAAAGAATTGCATAAATTAAATCAATAATAATATCAATCGTGTGTTAAATTATGAGATTAAAAGGTAATTAGTGTCGTATATGGTAGTGAAGTAAGAGAAAAGAGTTGAAAACTCTTCCTTCTTAAGTTAGAGGTTTTTACATTAACTAATGCTCGCTAGTTTATTTTAAATTATATGCAAATATCATTAATTTAACAAATAAATGAAGAATTAACTTAATTTGAGAAAATTAGTTAACTAATTTAAGGAAATCCATCATCATATGTAATAACATTCAACAAATTACATTTGAAAGTATATTGATTATGGTGAAATCAATTTTTTAGTATGTCATATCTTAATTAATTTTATTTTAATTGTTATTTTTTTCTTATTATTTTTAATTAAAGTTTCTTTTTTTTGTTGTTCAAATAATTAAATTAATTATTTTTAATATTTAATTAATCATAATTCTTGTAAATTTTATACTTTTTCATCATTATATTATTTAGAGCAATTAGTACAGTCACTCTAAAATCATAAAATCTTTATTAGGAATTAAACTCAGAGCTCAAACTATATAATCTCAAACAATTAATAATCCTAACGTATTAAAACAAACTTGTACTTTGGCTAGATATAAGTGAACACTGACCAGCTGTTAAAGAAAAAAAATTCAACCAAATTAAACACGCCCTTTGGTTTTCTACCAAAAATGAATTAATGTTCCCAATTCTTTAATTCCACTTTTGACACCTTCTCCACGTGTTCCATGTGAGTTGATTATATAAGTAGAATGGTCCCAAGAACTAAAACGAAGAACCATAAGTTTTGGTAGAGGGTCCCCTCAACTTCTTTGTATTTGTACTTATCTCTTTCAAGATGATGTTTTTTGGTGGAGGGCCCCCTCAGCTTCTCTGTGCACTAGTAATTTTATTGCATACAGGAAGTGTTGTTGGATTCAATTCAACAGCCGGAGCCACTGAGGTTGGGTGCATGGAGAGGGAAAGACGAGCACTTCTCATGTTTAAACAAAGTCTGGTTAATAAGCATGGTGTGCTTTCCACATGGGGAAGTGAGGAATGGAGAAAGGATTGTTGCAGCTGGACAGGAGTCAAATGTAGCAACAGAACTGGGCACGTAACTTGGCTTGATCTCTATAATAAATCTTTATATGGTAAGCTAAGTCCTTCTCTGTTTGAATTACAGCATTTAACTCATTTGGACCTCGGTGGGAATTATTTTGGTTCTAGCCACATTCCAGAGTCAATTAGTTCACTTAAGCGATTAAAGTATCTTGACCTTTCTGGTACTATTTTAAGTGGATCTCTTCCTAGTTTGTTAGGAAACCTCACAAGTTTGCGTTTCCTTGATCTAAGTTTTAATGGATTTCGCAATGTTGAAAATCTTGAGTGGCTTTCTCATCTTTCTTCTTTGAAATACCTTGATCTGAGTGAAACCAACCTTAGTAAGGTTAATAACTGGCTGCAGGTGGTTAATAAGCTTCCTCTTATAACCAACCTAAAGCTTAGTCATTGTAGTCTTTTAGGTGTGGTTCCTCAACCCCTCCCCATGGTCAATACTTCTACTTCTCTTGCTGTCCTTGACTTATCGGATAATTACTTGACTGCTTCCATGTTCCAGTGGCTTTTCAACTTTAGCAATGGCCTTGTCCATCTCAACCTATCTAGAAATCAGTTACAAGGTTTGATTCCAGAAGCTTTTGGTAACATGATTTTCCTAGAACAACTAAATCTCAGGGGTAATCAATTTGAAGGTGGGATTCAAAAATCCTTTGGGAATATGTGCAAATTAAGGCTTCTAGAGCTGTCCTCTAACAATCTCAAAGCAATGCTTCCTGACTTCTTTGGTAACTTATCCGGATGTCTAGACCTTGCCTTGGAGACTTTGTACATGGACAACAACAGATTCGTGGGACCCTTGCCTGATGCAATTAGAAACTTTTCGTCATTGAAGGTGTTATCTCTTTCAAACAATACCCTAAACGGGACTGTATCCAACAGCATTGGACTCTTGTCCAAGCTTGAGGAATTAGATATCAGTGAAAATTCTTTTAATGGGGTGATCACTGAGGCACATTTTTTAAAGCTCTCCAAGTTAAAAATGTTGAAAATGTCTTCTAATTTTCTGGCTTTCAATAGTAGCCTTGACTGGATTCCTCCTTTCCAATTGGATGAAATATTTCTCCGTTCTTGCAAGTTAGGTCCAAAATTTCCAAAATGGTTACACACTCAAAGAGACTTCTTGTCTCTTGATATCTCGAGTAACAGAATTTCAGATAGCATTCCCAATTGGTTTTGGGACTTATCTTCTAGAGCAGATTCTGTAGATATTTCTTCCAACTGCATTTATGGAATTCTGCCAGATTTGTCAATGAAGTTTTCTGGTCATCCAGGGATAGATTTGAGTCAAAATAAGTTGGGGGGTCCATTGCCACTATTCCCTGCTAATACCTTGTGGATATCACTCTCCAGCAATGAGTTTTCTGGGAATATTTCTTCTCTTTGTTCTGTAACTGGTAAGACCCTTAAGGTCCTTGATCTTTCATTCAATCAACTATCTGGAGAGCTTCCTGACTGTGTGGTGAGTTGGTCACATTTAGTGATTTTGAATTTGGCTCACAATCATTTTTTTGGGAAAATTTCAAGCTCCATTGGATCTCTTAATTGGCTTGAAGCGTTTTCTTTGCGCAACAACAACTTCTCTGGCGAAATGCCTTGGTCTTTAGGAGACTGCACTTCCTTGGAATTTTTGGACTTGAGTCATAATAATTTCTCGGGACTTGTACCAGACTGGATTGGAGGAAGATTGGCTGATCTAAATTACCTTCTCTTGGGATCCAATAATTTCCATGGAGATATCCCCTTACAGCTATGCCAATTGACCAAAATTGTGCTGCTGGACTTCTCTAGCAACAATCTCTCTGGAAACATACCATGGTGCATTCATAACATGACTGCCTTAACCAAAAAGGAGAATTCAGTCAATAATTATTTATATTTACATGGATTTATCAATGGGGATATCTTTATTGGATATGCTCATGTTAATAAAGCGTTCATTATGTGGAAAGGAACAGAATACGAGTTTGCAAAAAATCTCATGAGTCTGAGGCTCATTGATCTTTCAAGCAACAATTTGACTGGAGAAATTCCACGGCAAATATGTAGTCTCATTGCACTGGTGCAATTGAATTTATCAAGAAATCAATTGACAGGAAGGATTCCAGCAGGTATAGGACAGATGAGAAGCTTAGAATCACTTGATCTGTCACGAAACCAGCTTTCAGGTCATCTTCCTTCAAGCATGTCCCAATTAAGTTTTCTCAATACCTTGAACTTGTCAAATAACAACTTTTATGGGAGAATTCCGTTTGGCACCCAATTGCAGAGCTTTCCTGCTTATGCATTTGCTGGTAATTCTGCACTATGTGGGCCTCCGCTAACACCAACATGCCCGGGAGATGTGAAACCTTTGGCTGGTGGTGGTAGAGATATCCAAGATGATGGGGACGAATTCTGGAAAGGGTTTAAACCCAGCATGGAACTCGGAATGGCTTTTGGGTTTTTGGTAGTTCTGGCTTTAAAGTTGGATCATCCATGGAAACATGTCTATATCCTGCTGTTCAACTACATGAAAATTCCCCTTAGCAACTTGAAGGACTACCTCTGTTTGATTGTGGTAGCACTTTGTTTGATCGTAACGGTGAATGCTACCAGATTGCGTAGAAAGTTGAAGTTTTAAGATCCATCACTCTTTCTCTGTGGTGTGGAGAAGTGGGTATGTATCATGTTTGTTTATGCTATCTTGTTGATTAAGAGCATTACTTCATTGAATAACAAATCCACCTCTGATTGTTGTTTTCCAGGTTCAAAATGTTTGTTAAGGCTTCAGCCTTCAAGGACTCAACTTCTCGGGTGACATGAAATGTCACCGTGTCTTTTCAACCCTCACAGGATTCCACGTGGCTTCCTTTCTACGTTGTGTTTTTTTTTTTTTTGGTGTTTCAATATATGTGCTCTGTTATGTTGTGTTCTGAAACTCTGAATGGATGGTTTATGTCTTGTGTTGTATAAGCTTTCATCCACTCGTGTTGGATGGCTTGTTTTGTTTTCCTTGAGTGCAATATTTCAATAAAAACAGCTATGCAAATCACTTAGTCATAAACTAATCCTTTCTTTTGTATTTCAGTATTAGCTATACAATAATATAACCCTCTTTGCCTGTTTTCATATTTGAATCTGAGGGTTTTAATATAAAAGCTTTATAAAAATAAGAATTTACGTTTATATAAAAGTTTATTCAATAAATTAAGATATAAATAATCTAATAATTTATGATATTAAAAATTATTTGATAATTCGTGCATATAAACAGAAATAAAAGAAAATAATCTCTAATTGATCGTTTATATAAAAGTTTATTCAATAAATTAAGATATAAATAATCTAATAATTTATGATATTAAAAATTATTTGATAATTCGTGCATATTATTAATCATTAAATTAGAAAAGATCCTTAATTTTAGAAAAGATCCTTAATTTTAGAGGACTCTTATTATGTTTTGTAATTTAGTTCAAATTTAAACATGCAAAATATCATATTTTTACAATATATATATATATATATTAAAAAAACTTTAACGAAATAGTGTTTGTATATTATGGCAGTACGTTTGATATATTTTTTAATCGAAACCAACCGGTTGAACAAACACGTCAATCTCATTTGAGAGGATATCTCCTTATAGCAAAGAAGGGAATACCACTAAGGTTGTCATCAAGACGGCATTGCTTACAATATTTTCCTTTGCACACGTCTTGCCCAAACTCCGTAAAAGGTATGTTTTTCATCACTTTATATGAAACTTTCATCTCCAACTCCTAATTGTTGTGGTTTTAATGGTCCAATATCCAGAATCAAAGCAATTAAAGCAATGAAAGACACAATCAATCACCTAAAAACAGAATAAGCAAGCAAGTAAAATAAAAAGAGGACACCAGAATTTTTACATGGAAAACCTAAATGAGAAAAATCATGAAGCATTTGCTCAAATGAAAAACAATTCATTATTAAAAATAGATTACAAATTTTAGATCACAATTCGAATCTCTTAAAATTCTAGCATCAACAAGAGAGATTTTCTCTCAATCTCACTCTATTTTCTGCACTGTTTTCCCACTCTGTTTTCACGCTTTCACCAATCTGCACTCTTTTAAATTTTAAACAAGAGTTAAAATAAGGAGCTTTTGGATACAAGAATAGTAGAACTTTCCTATCAAGGACTAACATGTCAACATATCCAAAGTTGGAGGAGTCCACTTTGCTTTTCCCATTTTCTTCAAGAATTGGAAATGTCCGCGTCGGGGTCCACTGTTCATCTTCAAAACCAAACCTTCCAAGTTTCTGCCATTCGCCATGCACTCAAGGTGCACCTTCATTGTTGAGCCACCCAACTTGGGAGGGCTAGCTAGCTCAACACTAATAACATGGGAGTTGAAAACTTAGCGAATAATTTGGTATCACCACAATTGAGGCGAATATATCACATAAATAAACCAAATCAACGAAACTCAGTTATTAAGTAATCAAGTTTAAAAAACTAAATTTAAAATTCAAAGAATCTACATTTAATGATAGGCAATTCTGAACCAATGAATTTAAGGCATAAAAGCTTAGATAAAATCAGTCCATGATTTAGACACATACTATAACTCACAAATAGACAATTAAAATGTAGTCAAAATTTCAATTGAAATACAAATTCCTTTTGACTAGCCAAAAATAGCAATTTAAAACGCACAATCCAAAACCAATAAAATCATTTAAATTAAAAATCGACCGGTAACAAACAAGTTTCAATCAACTCCTTCAAGCTAATTTCGTTAAGTAAAGCAAAACTCAAAATCATTTAAAAGATCTGGATGATAACAGTGAGACGATGAATTTCAACTTAATACTAAGTCAGATCCTGTTGAAAATAACCATTGTGTTTCAGAACATATCAATTACCAGACAGAAAGTCACCAAATAAAATTCCTGAAATCAAAACTAGAAAAAGAGGGATGAGAATGTTGCAGCAAGCCTGCACAAAGAAATGCAACAAGCAAACCATGTACATATGAAAAAGAACAAACCTCATTTAGGCGGTGTTCCAAATGTCACTAATTGCCAATGTCTAGAACTGTTTGTTCTGAATTGCAATTCGAACACATAAACTCACCTCCGTGTACATAATAGAAGCAAACAAAAAAGAGCAAAAAATTCATTGAATTAGCCAAGCCAAGAGCTCCAGGGTCATCCATATCTTTACTCCAAAATAATAGATTCAGAATCTGATAATCCCAGCAATACGTCATTACTCAAGAAAACTAAGTTTCTACCCCTGAAAACTTGTAACATGATAGTACTATATTATGTACAAAGTTTGAGTTAAGGGACACCAAGAAAATTAAATCATAACTGGGGTAAAAACTGAGAAAAATCACTTCAACATATGTCCCTTAGATCATGAATCGTATCTTCCAACTAATACATTCATCACAGGAACAAAAAATTAGATAATATTTTACCTGAAAATGTTAGTGGATGCATCTAATACATATTTCTTGCTGACCCATCTCCACTTTCTTGCAGAGTTCCTGTTACCAAATTCACTGTTGGAGATCTATAAATTCCTGGAATTTAGAGCAATTAAAGCAACAGTACCGATTCTAAAAATTCATGTCAAACGGTAAGAAACAGAAAAAAAAAAAAAAAAACAGAAAAAGAAAAAGAAAAGACAAACATGGATGGCGAATAAAATTTCTGACGATTCAGTACGCCAGAGAGAGAAGGATGAGATTTCAAAGGAGTAAAGGTGTAAATAAAGATAGTAATTTTATAATTTTTTTTATTTAAGGATGTTAATTTTATCAAATTCTAAATAAGAAAGCTAATTTTTGATTTTTTCTATTTAAAGATGTCAACTTTTAATTTTTTCTATTTAAGAATACTAACTTTCAATATTTTGGTTAAAAAATTCATTTGTCACATTAGTATTATTATCCAATTAATGTTTAAATAAAAAAAGTTTAAAGTTAGTATCCTTAAGTAGAAAAAATTAAAAATCAACATCTTTAAATAAAAAAAATTAAAAATTAATATTTTTATTTAAAAACTAATAAAATTAATAATTTTAAATAAAAAAATATAAAATTAATATCCTTATTTATACCTTTTTCTCGATTTCAAAGCGAGGAAGTACGAAGAGGAGGGTGTTTTGGCCATCGGACTTCGGAGGCTGCGAGGAGGAAGCTGAGGGGCCTTTGGACTGTTGGTATTAATTAATGAATTGCTAAAAATGTGGTTGTAATGTGTAAAATGGGTCGTAATGGGAAAAATCCATTTAGACCGATGGGAGTTGGATCAAATTTCCCAATTTGGATAGAGTTGCGCTGCTCAACTTGGGCCAAGACCCACGCTGCGTAGCCTCGTCGGTGTAGCATTCTTGTATTGGCTTGGGCTGTTAGATTGGCTCAAAAACGTGGCGACAGTTGCACAACACACAGTAAGACTATGCTTATTGCTGCACATATTTTTGATAAGTATATATAATTTTAAATAATTAATTATAATATTTGGAAAAAAACTGCATGTAAATTAATTTTAATTTATTAAATATTAAAAATCAATTATTTTTTAATTATTAACTATTTTTAATGATTAAATTAATAAAATATTAATAAAATTGTGTCGCCTTTTGTCTGTGCGAGTCATAACACAGGCTACATGTACAGCCACACGTTAGTAACAGATAACCTACTCCACAAGGCAAAGCGAGAGACAGGCCAACAGCGGAGAATCACGGAAGAGAATTGACGTTTTTTTTACCGGAATATAGAAAAGTGCAGTTAATTACCGTGTCAATAATTTCTGGCCTCTTTTGGCTTTAATTTCTCACCCTTCGTCTTTAATTAGCCTCTATTTCAGAACTTAATAAGCTTAATTATATCTCTGTGTCGATGCTCAAAACTCTATAAGTTCTGTAGGTTTTATTAGCAGGTAAACATGCCATACTTCTTTCACCAATTTGCTCTATATCATATTTAGATAATCAGTTCTAGTATTGGGTCAGGTGGTGACGCTTTTTTCTTTTCCCTTTTTTATCTTTTAAGTTGAGAATGATACAAATTGGTATAGTTACGATCTCGTTCCGCGAGATCAAGGAGTCTTTCTCCATCCCTGTCCTTGTGAGAATTTTTAACGAGAGGTTAATTTTACCTTCTATCTCTGTTTTTTGTAGGGATCTCATTTCATATCAATTAATATTAAAATATAAATTTTTTACATATAATTAATTAATATTTAATTATAATGAATAAAATTCTAAAAATTCAAATATAATTAACTAAAATTTTTAAATATAAAATTAAATATAAATTATCCAAATATAAATAAAAATCAATCTAACGTAAATAGGTAAAAGGTTAATAATGGGTTGGGTTGGGTTGAATGGGGTAAAATTGGGTTAAATTTAATTTTTATTGAATTGAGTTTGGCTCATTTGCCACTGTTGAAGGGTATAAGGGGTGGTATGCTTCTAAATTTGATTTAGGGTAATAATCAAGTTTAAGGGGTATTTTGGATGATTTATCTCTGAGTAATTTGAAATTAAATCACATCAGATCTCATAAGAGAGAAAAATCTCTTATAGTGTGTTTTCTCATTTACAAAATTTGAATTCAAGATCTTATTTAAAAAAAAATAAACTCCTTTCACTTGCACTAATAAATCATTGGCTTAAGGAAAAATTAGTATCAAAGTTATCAAGGTCTACATAAGAAAAGTTGAGAGGAAACTTTTTCTCTTCAACAAGTGTAAGAAGAAAAATTTTTCGATTATGAGTTATATTAAGAAAAATAAAAATAAAAAATATCATTTTTACCCTCTTTTGTTATAATATTAATTTCTAAAAATACATAAATAACTTTATATGGAAGAAAAGTCAAGAAAATTTTAGAGAAAAAAAAATCTCTTAATGTCTTTTTTTATATTTATAAAACTTAAACTTGAAATCTTATTTAAGAGAAATCGAATTCTTTTCGTTTATACTAACAAATTATTGGTTATACAAAAAATTAGTATAAAAGTTATCAAGTAGGTCTAGATAAAAAAAGTTAAGGAAAAACTTTTTCCCTTAAAAGTGTAAGAAAAAAAATTATTGATTAAGAATTGTGTTAAGAAAAATGAAAGTAAAAAAAATATCATTTTTATTATTTTTTATTATAATATTAATGCATAAAAATATATAAATAACCTTATAAGATGAAAAAATTTTTAAATTTTTTTAAAAGGTTTTCTTCACTGAACACCCCCTAAAGGTTCGTTTTGGTTTGCGGAAATCAATTTCATTTCGAAAAGCATTTTTTATAAAAAAAATATTTTCTTTTTCAATTTTTTTTTGATTTTGAAATACTTTGAAAAACTTTTTAAATGAAATATTTTCTATTCTTTGGCAACTTATGGAAAATCTTCAATTCATTACGATATTAATTAATTAATTATTAAAAATTTAAACCAAACATTAAAAAATAATCATACACACCTTTATAATTTTTAAATTATCTACTATACTATTAAAATAAAAATTTTAAGATCAATTTCTTATAGAAAACATTTTATTTTTTTATTGTTTGGTAAGCAATAAAAAAACTTTAAAATTTTTTTTTTTTTTAGAAATCTGAGAGTCTATTTTTAAAATGTAGAATTTTTCCTAACGTTAAATATCAAAAACGTTATGATTAGATGTCGCCACTTGAATACTGACTAAGAATAAAAAGTTTTATGATTTCTATAATAGGGAGCAATAATAAATATAGAGAAAATCAATAAAACTTATTTATCATATGAATAAGAGTCAAGGAACTTTCCAGAGCAAAACATCAAACTTCATTAACGGAAACTTCGGGCCCGCGCGTTTTGCAGAAATTAACTTCTAAATTGCAAATCCAGAGGTTGATTATCAAAAGATTAGTTTTAAATTTTTTATTGATTAGATTTTTTTTTTCCACTAACTTATTTTTTAAAGCGATTTTAAACATCAAAAAATAAAGAATATATTTTTAAATAAATTATTTTTCATGAATCAAACAGATCTTAAAAGAAATATTAGGAATATTTTCTTAATAGTTTTTTAAAATATTTTTTTATAAAATTAAAATATATAAAAAATAAATTTAAAGTGATTAGTAATAGTTTTCAAAAGATAAATAAGAGAGATTCAGGCATGAGAAAAATAAAAATAGAGGGCGAGCAGGAAAGATTCCTGCATAAGAAAGATAGAGAAGTACTCACCCTATGTAAGAAAAGTGACATAATTCAGAATATTATCATCAGGAAGTTGATTGATGGAACTTTGGCCAAACCTTTCTTAGGAAAGATTCAAGCATGAGAAAAATAAAATGGAGGGCGAATGGGAAAGATTCCCGCATGAGAAAAATAGAAAAGTACTCACCCTATGTAAGAAAAGTAGCATAATTCAGAATATTATCACCAGGAAGTTGATCGGTGGAACTTTTGCCAAACCTGTCTTAGAGATAGCAGCCAGCAGGGAATTCAACCCATCTATAGTGAATAGCCTGCCCTTCTTGACTTTTGTCATTGCAACATTTGAATCTTTCCTAAAGTGGCGTAATCGACAAATTAAACAACATTTTCCTAAGACTAATTCGGCTTCATCAAGCCTTTTAGCAATGTAAATTTAGGTACAGTATGTTCAAATTTGAGGGTTAAAATTTATATAGACTTTTTGATTTTATAAATGACAATTTATTTATAAGAATTGATGCTTGTCCGCCTTACCTTTAAAAAATTAAAAGGAAAAAAAGACAAATATCACCTTAATGTATACTTTAAAAATAAGGTAGTTTAGTCATTTTTAATAAAAATTTATTAAAACGACGTAGTTTTAAAATGATTTTCTTTTTAATCTTTAAGAGGTAAAGCTGACAGGCACTTTTTCCTTATTTATATCACGTAGATAAAATTTTTTTGAATTGCACTGATCACAAAGTTGTCTATATGCATTAAAGTCACTACTTATAAAATTTTGATTATGATTTATGGAATAAAATCAGGGTTTTAATTCTTATAATATAATTAAACAATTAATAACCACCATGTATCAAAACAAAATTAGACTTCGTTTAGTTTAGTTAGATACAATTGATACATAGCTAATGCCTCTCAATACCTTAATTACTAGCCGAGTAAGAAAAAAAAAGGTTTAAGTACCATTTTAGTCCCTCAACTATCTACTTTGGTACCAAAATTATCTCTCAACTTTAAAAAATATCAAAATTATTTTTAAACTTTCATTTTTGGTACTAAAATGGTAATTCCATCAGTTAAATAACAGATGTCACGTTATTTTGTCACAAAATCACATTTAAAAAAATAACGATAATTACGTGAAAAACCCACGTAACGTTATTTTGATGAGATGAAATTTTTCTTTTTACATGTGGCATTTTTTTTATTTAAATAAAAACCCATATAATTTGTTATTATATTATTATTCTTCTTCTTCCTCCCTTCTTCTCTCTCATCCCTCCGCCCCTTCCTCGATCTGCCGAGCCCAGACCCAAAAATGACGCGGCGCTGCTCGCATTGCAGCCACAACGGCCACAACTCCAAGACATGCCCCAACTGCGAGGTCAAGCTCTTCGGGGTGCGCTTGACGGACGGGTTG